CAACAACAAAACGATTACAACAAAAAAGAAAATCAGAAAATGATGATGTAACCATTGTTAATGAAATTAAAAAACACAAGATCAATCTAAGTGAACCGTTGATTGATCCTGCAACAACCATATCTAAAAAAACGTAGGTTGGGGGAAGACGCGGAGGAGAAGGAGGAGTGAAATGTTTTAAATAAAAAACAACGCGTCTACTAATCTAGTCTAGTGTTTGTCCTCGTTCTGTAAAGATCTCATCGATAAAAAAAAGAAAGAGCAAATGTAGTCAAAAACAAATTTTAAACTCTAGGCAACAGTATGGTCATAAACGTAAGAGTAAAACAAAGTCCATTGGATTTCAAACAGCTGTTGGAAAAATTAATAAAGAAATTTTACAAAGCAAGGCAACAAATTTGGAAGATGCCATTCATGTGGCATTGAATGCAGCAAAACAGATTAAACATTAAATGAAACCCAGTAGTGGTCGTGTTATTAAAATTCCAAAGGTTGGCGGTTTTCTACCTCTTATACCCATATTTGCTGGGCTATCAGCATTGGGAAGTTTAGCAGGCGGTGCAGCAGGAATAGCCAAGGTGATGTTCGGTCAGCCAAAAAACAACTTAATGAATCAAATCGTCACAATCAAAAAATGGCAATAGCAATGGGAATAGGACTCTACCTAAAACCGTACAACAAGACAGGATTGGGTATTTTCTTACGAATGTATCAAAGCAATCAGGCCTATCGCTAAAACAGCGGCAGCAGCGACAGCAGCTTCCCAAACTTCCAAACAGAACGCTAAGAAATATTGAATTAATATACACACACCGCAATGGTCTAGGGATATTGGTTAAATATTTATTAAAAACTGCACACTTCATTTTCAAACTATAAAAATTGTATCAAACTGGTCCTGTTAGTATACATTAGAGTTTTATTATATCGTATAAAACAATTTTAAAGAAAAACAGTAGATAAAAACTTGTAACTTAAACCATCCATTTTAACCAAAAAAATTACAATCGTTTTTGTAAGAAATACCAAAGAATGTGGCCTTTTTTTGTAAGTATCGATTGTGATAAAACTTAGTACACCTTAAGTAACGATGCAAAGACAACATCTCTCACGTGATCAAATGCTACGAGCAGTTGGAATGCTCGAAAGTGGTTTCAGGCAAATTGATGTTGCGGAGGCTTTGCAAACAACCCAAAGTGTGATATCGCGATTATGGGCTCGTTATCGTGACTGGGGTGATTTGCCGAAAGACATCCAGGGCCGCCAAGAATAACAAACCGGGTTCAAGATCGTTTCATTGTTCGAATGGCAAGGCGTATCCCTACTATAACGGTTACGCAAATAATGAATGAAGTCCAAGAAACCCACAACATTCAAATAGGCAATAGTACCATCAGTAATTGATTACGCGAAGGTGGTTTAAGAAGTAGACGCCTCTTGAGATGTCAGCCTTTACCCAGAGGGAATCGCGCTGCACATTTAGATAGGGTAAGAGAACGTGAAAATTGGCAAGAAGATCAGTGGGCCCAGATTCTTTTTACAGGCGAATCACGCTATGGATTGTATCCGGATTCCAGAAGAGTAAGGAAGTGAAGGCAACCTGGCTAAGAGGCAGTTCTGGAAAATATTCAGGAGGTCCACAGTATAGAGGTGGTAATGTGATGGTATGGGCGGGTATATGTTTGGGCGGAAGAACTGATCTCGTTTTGGTAGAACATTTTTTGAATGCTGAACGATACGTAGAAGAAATTCTTGAACCAGTTGTGCTACCCCACGCAAATATTGTTGGACGAAATTTTGTTTTGATGCATGACAATGCTCGTCCACACGTTGCAAGAAACATAAGACGCTGGTTAGACCAACATCAAATATCCGTTTTACCCTGGCCTGCTCAATCACCCGACCTCAATCCAATTGAGCATGCATGGGATATGCTCCAGAGAAGACTTTTAGACGAAAATGCTCAATTTCAGAATCGTGAACAGCTTTTTGGAGCATTAAGGGCGGTATGGAGACGTTTACCTCAAGAAGACTTGGACAATTTAATTCTGAGTACTTATGCCGAGAAAAAATTGTATTGCTTGTTAACTTTATTTTTAAATTTAATTTTTTGTTATATTTTAATTATTTAGAATTAATTAATTACCAGTATGATTATTTCGATAAATGTTTTAAAACAAAAAAATTTAAATTTTTTTTATATAATTTAGTCAATTACTTGCTAATAAACAAATAGAAAATGAAAAGTGCCACCGATTTATATCTGGTTAACATTTTTTTATTGAAACAATAAATATCCTTAGACCATTGCGGTGTGTGTATTTTGCTAAATTACACAAGATTCCAAACTTTCGTGGTGTTTTTATGCGTGATGGATTACCAAGAAAAATACATAGTCAGAACGGACGAGGTGTGATAAATTTGGATTCAACAAATGGTCATCAACTTATCCTACTAATCATTATTTAACAATAAAAGTTAATCGAAATACTATGAGATGTGAGATAAAGTCAACTGGAACTATATACTTTAACAAGGACCGTTCGATAGGTAGTCTCTTGGGATTTAAGAAAAAAGAATTGAAAAAGATACAAAACACAAGTCTAAAAATCCAATCAACATAACCAAAGTTAATACTAAATGTGTAGAATGCAATTTGACTGTTAATTCATACAACAACGATGAACTCTCACATATCCTTCATATGTTCTATCCAACGTAATTTATTTTCCAATCAACACTCGTTATTTGGATGAGATTATTCTTTAAATAACCGACCAAGACGGTAATTTGGTTAATTTCAATGGTGAGATGATCACGGTACGAGTGCACTTGAAAAAAGTAAAATGGTGATCAAATATAACAACAATACCCTTCAACCCTTATCATCTTCATTTAGAATAAATACCAAAACGAGAAAAGGAGTGGTCAGTGTGCAAAAGAAGCCTAGAGTGTTGTCATCGGTGAACAGGAAATCAAAATTTTGGCGTTGGTGTCAATTCAGACTATTCAGAATATTTGTATTGTAACCGTCATTTTGACAGTTACTCATTTATTTTATTTTAATAGTTTTTTACATCTAGAACGGTATGGATGTACACCGTTAAGTGTTTTATTTTTAGTTTTACTAATTGTTAAGTATAATTTTAACAAGGATAATTGTTTAGTTCTTTAAATGCCTCTTTCCAAAGAATCTATTAGTTTTATTGGAATTCCTTGTACTGACACTTGGATAGCATTGCCTAGGAAGGCCGTTTAAAACTCTTTTTAAGCTATTTCTTTTAATTTTATTCAAAAACTTTAATTTGATAGTATGCAACACAAACACTTCCGTGTGGAAGTGGTTGTGTGTAGTTATAATGATAATTATAATTAATATATTCATTTTGGTGGCTGGTTTGCCGTTTAGGGGGGTAGGTATTTGGGTTTTTGGGTATGTTACTAGGGTCGTATCAGTGCAAGAGTGGCTGAGGGAGTATTGACGGTTGAAGTTTGGGTCCTGGTAGAATTTGCGGGGATTCTTTGGGGAAATGTCTGTTAACATAGGAAACAATGTTGGAATTTTATTGGGTTCGAGACTTTTCCAGCAGGTCTTCTACGCACTTAGTTTTCTACGCATCAAATTTTGAGTTGAGCGTTTTTTTATAATTTGGTCGTTGAAGAGTTTAGATGAGAGTTAAGTTTGTGCTTAAATTATGGAAAATTTACAATAACACGTGGTAAATCTCTTAATCTACTTTTACAATTCCGACTAAAACACTTTTCGTGTTATACGATGAGCTCTGGGTGAGTTTTTGACCTGTTGCTGAATTTAAATGTCTTATCCACGAGGTTCTTAATTTTAGGTTAGTGTTATTCCCTCATTTTTGGTTATTATCCAGTCCTGACGTTGTATAGTTATAAAAACTCCTTGAAACAAGGTTAAGTTAGGCGGTTGATAGTTTTTTTAAATGCTTGGGCATCATACCATTTTTTTAGGGTTTTTATGTTGGAGTTTTTTGTAAGACTTTTTATGTCAAATTTGTTGTGAAGGAATGGTTTTTTACCCTGAACTTGTTTTGGATAATGGCAAGTTCTTACGTTATTGATTAGCCATCCTGTATAATCTGACATAGTAGGACTTCAACATCGGAAGCCAACCCATTTGGAGACAATCTACCAGGGCCCCAATTACGATCAGGTCGTACCAACTTTGAATATTTATGTTAGAGAACATAGCGTACACTCCTTATCTGTTTGTGTACTTTTGAGTTGAGAGTTCAACATAGTTATTTTAAGTATATTTTTTTTGTATCATCGATAATATTTTGTCAGTTAATTTAGTATATCAGACTTTGGTTTTTGTAAACCATATATGGCCATATAAGGGTGCACCAAAATTATAGATCGCACAAATATTTATTATTACATGAAAAGTGATCATTTTAACATCGGTGAACAAATATAACTGATTTTTTTTTAAACTTGACTTTTAATAACCACCCTTAGTCTTTAGTAAGATTGTGTCTGACTTACTTAGATTTTAACAACTGGCCATAATAAGACACTGGCGCCCAATTTTGGATTTATTTTAGTAAAAACACGTAAGTATTGAGAAACAACATTTGCCCATCGACCTATCTCTCCGCTGCTAAGCTGCCGTTCGCCATAGCCCTCAAGTTGAGGTTACAGTATCCAGTGCTCAGCGAAGAATAATACTACTACTGTGCACTTGTCAAGGATACATTAAAAATGAACATTTTAAACGTAGGAGACAGATCTGTCACTGATGATTCAATTATCAGTAAAGAGTATCATAGTTACTTGCCTTATGCAAATTCAAGTTTAAACAAATCCGATGAGGTACGAAACCCGATACAAACTCAAAACATTTACACCTACCCTGCCGAGAGCTTCCTCGAATTAGAAGGGGTCGTACTCGATGAATAAAATAAGGCTAGTGGTACAATTCAACTAACCAATATGGCTTTGATGTTCTATTCGATGAGATAAGATACGAAATGGCTGGAGTGGTGGTAGATCGAGTTCGAAACCCTGGTATAACGTCTCTTATGAAGGGCTACCTCAGTTTTACCGAGCAAGATTGTGTACGTTATCAAAACGCAGGTTGGAATCATTTGGATCATGTGAAAATTGTGCATAAAGCTGATGGATATTTCAATGCATGCATCCCGTTAAAAATCCGAGTATTTTAGGACTTTCGCGAGGTTGTTATAAATGTACAAGAGCTGGCACTAATCAGAAGTTTTACCGATAAAAATTCAGTACAGACAACAAAAGCAGGAGAAAAACCCCAAATACGTCTAAACAAAATTGTTTGGAAAGTTGATCATGTGAAAGTGGACGATGAGTCAAACTTACGGTTGTTATCAGTCATTGACAAGGGTAGAGACTTGACTCCTTCGTTTCGAGGATGGGAACTTCATGAATATCCACTGTTAAATCAAACAAAACAATACACATGGAACGTAAAGGCTGTAAATCAATTGGAAAAGCCTCGAAACATTACATTTGGATTCCAAACAAATAGGAAAATACTAGCAGATAAGGATTTCAGCATGTTTGATCACTGCCACATAAAAAACTTCAAAGTCCATTTGAACTCCGAGGTTTATCCCTACGATAATTTTAACCTTAACTTTATCAAACAACAGTATGCCTTGCTGTATGAGATGTATGCACGATTTCAACAGTCCTATTATTACAAAGATGTGGGTGAGCCTTGTTTCACATTGGAGAAATTCATTGAAAGGGCTCCATTAATCATGATCGATTGTTGTTACCAAGTGGACACCATAACAAATGGAAGTGTCGACCAGTCCATACCTGTTGATTTTACACAATAAAATAGTTAAATATAACCCACTTACCAGTAGATTAAAATTTTTATAATTGTAATATATATATCCAAATAAAATAACTCCAAATAGTTCCAAGAAATTAACGCACCACGTAATATTTTGTAAATAAAATTTTCTATCAAAGTAAATAGTACAATGTTTATATTAATTTTGAAACACCCTCGTATATGACTATTAAAAAGTGTGTAAACGTTTTTATAAGATGTTTAGTTTTTTTGTTATGTCGAATATACCAATTCTAGTAAATTACTACAACATGTTAAAGTATCGCCGCGGCTCGCAGTTTTGTTAGACTTCATTTATCATCTCTATTTTCTTTTTAATTTTCACTTATTGTCAAGATGCAACGGCAATCGAGAAATTTAACTCGCGATGAGTGTGCCCAAGTGGTTGGTTTAGTGCAAGAAGGTTGGAGTTACCACGGAATAGCTGAAAGGTTTGGTGTATCCCATACATCCATTTCTCGTATGTTTCAACGGTACATGGAGACTGGTGGCCATACTAGGAGACCATGTCAGGGTAGAAATCGTGCTACGACTCCTGCTCAAGATCGTTTTTTAAGACTTTTAACTTTGAGACAACGGTTTGTGACTACAAGAATGTTGCAGTCTCAGTTGAAAAACCTAGAAGGGGTTCGAATAAGTATTGAAACCATTCGACAACGACTTAGGGAAGATAATTTGCAACCCAGAAATCCTGCACGGGGCCCGCTCTTAACCGTGGATCATCGCAGAGCCCGGCTAAATTTTGTTAGAGAGCACGTCAACTGGGTAGAAGCGGATTGGGAACGAGTTCTGTTTACAGATGAGTCTAGATTTTGTCTATACACATGCGATAGACGCGTTCGTGTGTTTCGACGGCCAAATGAAAGATATGTCCAATGTAACTTCCTTAATACGATCTTATTTGGTGGAGGCTCAATTATGGTGTGGGGAGGTATTTCTTAAACAGCACGTACCGACTGAGCGTTAAATTTTGAACATTCTGGAAAAACATAATGCAGGATAATGCACGACCACACACTGCCCAGCAGAGTTGGGAGTACTGAGTATTTTTTTTAATGGATTATGCTATCATTACTAATTATTACTTGATTTTATAATTGTAATGAGAGAAAAATATTGAGTACTTTTTATTTTTACTTTACCAATTTGATAATTACAATTTTTTTTTATTTTGTAATTATAATCAGAGAAAATATCAAGTACTTTTTATTTTAACTTAAAATGTTTACTGATTCTAAATATTTTTTTATTTTATTTGATAATTTGATAATTACAATTTTTTTTTTATTTTGTAATTATAATCAGAGAAAATATCAAGTACTTTTTATTTTAACTTAAAATGTTTACTGATTCTAAATATTTTTTTATTTTATAATTAATAACATATATATATATTTTTTTTTGATTTGATTAGAATGGTGAATAAGGATACTTCCGTGCTTGTTTATGTTTTTATTGCGACTAGTTTCGATCTATATTAGATCATCTTCAGGCAAACTACAAAAATATGTAAAATTATTATAAGGTTATGTTAACATAATAATGATAAAATTAACGCCGTGTCTAGAGTCCCGTCAGACGGTTCCCTATTGCGCTCCCGTTAACAGAGTGACGTCATCCAATGACGCAATCTTAGGACGGAAAGCAGATTTTATTGTTCGGCGGTCAATAATAATTTGACTTTTGAACTAGTAGTCACTACATTATTGTACTAGTTCAAAAGTCAAATTATTATTGACCGCCGAACAATAATGGTGACATTTTCTCGTCTGACAGTTAAACCTAACCTAAAAATGAGGTTACAAAATTTCAAAAAAATATCGAAATTTAAAGCTTGAAAAAAATAGTATATAAAACACGGCAGTATAAACCAGCCACAACTAAGAATAAGAAAATCTTTTTCTCTAAACATGTTGGTTGATACTGAAAAAGTGTGTTCTGAACCTTCTAAGGTTCTGACATAATCACGACAACTAGTGAAAAAGGACCGAAAACAAAAACAAAACTCGAACAAAACTTAGTTTGCTTGATGGAAACAAGAGTTTCAGGTTTTTAAAAACTTGAAAAAAATCGGGTCATTCCATTTGACTTTCCAAAGTTACCCCCCGTTTCACCCTTAAGGAGGGGTAGGGGGTGGCTAGCGGTAGCACCAAATAATGTCCCCTTTGGTCACATTAACCTTTTATTTAAGACATTTTTCCGTGAAATGCGTATTTCTCGAGATATTGAGCTGTCTCAAGTTAAAAGAAACACCCTGTATATTGAAAAATTACACTAATTTTATATACAGTATTTATAATTATTAATTAGATTTTGTTTTTTATTTTCAGTCGGCCCGTTAAAAAATACTTCGTACTTGTATTTTCATTTATATTTTAAGTACAATCAATTTTTTACTTTGACTTTAAACTTTTGCATTACGAAGTACTAAAAAATATTATTTATTCAAATTAATAAGTACAATTATTTTTGTATTTTTACTTTAAATCAATTTAGAGTAAAAAATACAATGTATTGATAATTTTTATTTTCTCCATTCTCAAGTAACTTAAATATTCTAATGGCAATACTTTTTAAGTACAAATTATTTTTGTATTTTTACTTTAAATCAATTTAGAGTAAAAAACACAATGTATTGATAATTTTTATTTTCTCCATTCTCAAGTAACTTAAATATTCTAATGGCAATACTTTTTAAGTACAAATCTCGCAACTCTGCTGCCCAGGTAGTCCGAAATTATCTTGCTGCCGTTGGGATTAATGCTATGGCCTGGCCAGCTCGCAGTCCAGACCTTAACCCTATAGAATACATCTGGGACATTCTTGGGACATGACATGATGTGAGGCTGTCACTCGTAGTAGAGGTGGAAATACCCAATATTAAGTACAATTTTTTTATTTTTATAAAAAACGTATTCTGTTAATTTTTAATTTTTTGAGATTTTTTTCTGAGATTATAAATAAAAACCTATTTTTAAATAAATATACAGATATTGTGTAAATTTATCTTTACCATTTTCAAAACATATTAAAAATGATAAATAACACAAAAATTATATCTAAAATATTTAATTATATAATAAAAAGTTGATTAATTATAATGAGTATGAGTATGAGTATAAGAGACGTATAACCAGCCCCATTTCCTCTTGACTCTCGAACCCCGTACAGGCCTATGTTTACTTACGCCGATTTTTGTTCTTCCCCAGCAACTGCACGGCTTCACCCGTGTTTGCTGGGTGCGAATGTCCATTGCGTTCTGTACTGTCCCCTATTTGGGGCTCGAGAGCGAGAGGCGAATAGTTTTAATAGCCATTCCCGGGTTCGCCGAGCCTATGCTATACGCTCAGTGGGGTATGGAGGAGGGACGGGAAGGTGTTGGTTTTTGGGGGACAATTACGCCGACTTAAAACTAAGTAAGACGCGGAATCCCCCTAGACCAGTCGATTAGTATTACTCCAAACATTTGGGGTTACTATTTGGAGTTCGGGAGTTGTTATTTTGCTGCAGGGGTGAAGTTTCCTATTCGAGGTCTTCGTCTTGTTCGTTATTGTCATTGCCCGTGTCCTCAGTCTTGATGCCAAAAACCATCAATAGATAGTTCAGTCGCTGGGTGTAACTTGTAGCTTTTGGTGTTTTTTTTTTTAATTGTTTATTGCCCCAGAAGTGCGAAATTTTTGAATTTATGTCGTGCAAATGAACTGGCTGCATGAACTGTACTTCGTGCTGTGGTCGTTTGTTGGTCGCTTGGTGGCCCGAATTGTCGTTGATAGTTTTTATTGAGTCGCTCGTATCACTAAAACCCGCACTGTTTCCGCTACCTGATTCACGCTGACGGCTATTAAAACTGGAGGTGGAATTTTCTTCGGGGTTCGGTTTCCAGGGTTTCAGATTAGCAAAGCGTTTAGTTCTAAGAGAATGGTTAATATCACTTGTGGTTCGTGGAGGTGGAAGCAGCTTTCTTAAAGCTAGGTTGGAGGTGCGGGGGACATTGGAATACGGTAATGGTGGTGGTGGATGGTTGCTGGGAGGCCTGTGGTAGTTCGCGGCAGCATGACACTTTGCCGCAATGGTCAAAGTGGCCAGAAAGAGGAGGACTCCGGCCAGTTGGGCAGTTGAAGTCCAACAGCGTGGTCCGCGTGGGCGGGCCGTTCTCACTCTGAACACCACCAAATTAATCACCAACACTATATTCACCGCACCAATCCAAAATTTCAGTCGCCACCGCAGCAGAATCCAAAAGCTCAACACCGCCAGGCAAAATGTCCTATCGCGACACTCCTGCACTCTACCGAATGCAGGATGCACCCTTCGATTCCCAGGTTGGCGCGAATATATTTTTTCGATGGCAAGCCGTGGCTTGGACATTGCATCCCGTCGCGGACACGACCAGAACCATTTTGAGCACCGGTTGTCTCATGCGATCTAACCTTCAAAGCACCTGTATCCTCACTTATAACGTGCCTATTCCAAAATCCCTTGCCGTCACTAAAAATCTTCAGTGCACTAGTATGGTTAGTATACTGTAAAACGTTTTTGTCTCTGTCTCTCCCGGTCGTGCTCAATTTAAGTCGACGCCAGATGTCGATCGTGGCAGTCGCATAACTTTGCCCTTCGATAGTTTTCTCGCCCTTGGTGTGCGAGACGTTGCGTGCGTTTTTTTTTTGGTGCACCACTTTTGGGGGAGGGTTGTGATTGTGTCGTTCGCTGCGACGATTTCGTACGTGCCCCTTTGGCGTGTCGTCACACACTGATAAAAAGTTGATTAATTATAATAACACAAAAATTATCTCTAAAATATTTAATTATATATGTATATTAAAAAGTTCTGAATGGTAGATGTGCTTTAGGTGTGACGGCACTTGGCATGTTGTTGTTGTTTAATATAAATCAAATATAGAAAAAACGTGAAAAGACGATTAAAAATAAAAAAAATAATAATACCTTTGCTTTTTGTTTGATGTTTAGAGAGAGAGAAAG